ATCCTCCAGATAACAGCTGAATTTGAGCTCAGCTATCCAGCTTCTGTCAAAACTTGCCACGAACCCTACGACCTAACGGTGAGAATTCCTGTAAAGCCAACAGTTATTTTACTGAGACAACTGACGTGGTGGATTTATACGAAAAATATACATAACGTTAATATTTTTAAAATTTAAAAAAATGAAAAATTGTTTCTGCCATTGAATTTCATGGATTGTAGTATATTCGTAACAAAAGACCCAAAAAAATATTTTTAACGATGTGGCAAGAGGCATCCTCTCACGCCACCGAATCGTCTGTCAGATGCCAACTTAAACAATAAATAAAATTATAAATTAAATTATTAATGTTGTTACTATGCTCACGCAGTATACTTCAAAATCATGCAACAACTACTAATATTTCGAGATACATATTGCACTACGAAAAATATCTAGCTTCAATTTTGAAGGTATAAAGACAGGTTTGAAAATTTTGAACTTTTCATTCTTTGAAATTCTAGAGCTTTAAAGAAAAGCGGACCTCCGTTGCAGTATTATTCAGTAATCTTAGTACTATTTAGCAAGAAGTTAAATATTATATATTCTGAACAATTTTTGAGACAATATTGTTGAAGCTTCTCTTAATTCCCCAAATATCACCCAAAAATAACGCATTACTTCTCGTATTTTCAAGAACTTCAATTTGACATTATTTAAAGATCTAGCTTTGAAGAACAGATATCGTTAAGAAAATATTTACAGTAGAACCCCGGTAATCCAAACTAATTGGGGGTGTGGTCTGTTCGGATTCGTAAATGTTCGGATTATCCAAAAAAAATGTACCGTACATATACAAATATATCTAAAGGATTGCCAGTCAATGCAACGTAGCGTGCGATGCGAGAAAATGGCAACGTAGTGTGGCGATGGTATCATCACATCGCATCATCAAGTAGCTTCAGTTCCTTACGGCAAAACATTACCTTAGGGAAAAAAATTTTGCAGGTGCCTTTAAGTGAAAATTACTGCTATATAAACATATAATACACACCGTAGTTACCAGTGCAATAAAGGTTTCATTTCGGCAACTTGTGTGTCAATAATTAGTTGTTCAGTTCTAAAGTAAATATAAAGTCCACTCTCTACACTACAAATAAGCATTTTATTTATTTTGTTTATTTTTCTTCCATCTCGAATTTTGTTCGGATTATCCGAAATTTCGGATTTGCGGGGTTCTACTGTACATTGAAAATGGATTGTCGCGAAGTGCAAATATCTTATAGCTTTCAGCATTACTATTTACGATAAATTTGGCATGAAGGGTAACCATGAACAAAATGGAATGTTCTTAACGTTGAAGGCTAACAATTGGTTCGTAAGGGGATTTTGCACTTGGTAACAAACCATTTTCAGAATTATTATGCGGAGGATTAGCACTCTTCCTCAGTCTTGAAAGTGATTGTTCAAGACAACCCCATCTCGTCCAATTGTTAGCTAATAATGTGCGTGTCATTCCATTCATACATCTACATCCTTCATGTCAATTGATTGGTACAAAATATCAGTTTTTAATAAAATAGTGGTAGGCGGGGGTCCAATATGTTAAAACATCGAAATTTTCAAAATTCACGGGTTTTACTGAACATTATAATGAGCGTCATTTTTATAGCCGTACTTTATTCGAACAGGATAATTAAAGAAAAAAATTCAAACAATTTTGAGATTTTTTAAAATGTTCTATGGGTTTGTTTAATATAAAGTACGGGGGTACTTTTGGGGGAAATTAAAAGATCCGTTTTAATCTCGCAGAGCCACAAGTGTGGCCAGATTGATCGAGAAATATATTCAAGTGGGGGTATCCTGTAAATGATTTAGGCCCAAGGGCTGTCCAGAAATATACAGACAGACAAGCGGATTAGCAGACGTTCATAAACACTTATTCGACCTCCGGAACAGCCAAAAGGTGCTTTTCTGTAAAATAGAACATCTGCCACTTTTCCCAGCAGCATTACATAATCTTCGCTACACTAGATATACGAGAAAGTAAAAAGACGCAGATTCACATGGTGAAAAAGTTGTAGAATAACAGGTATTCTACAACGTTGTCACAATGCGAGTTCACAATGTAGTTATTACCGAATGGCGCGAAGTTGATGTCAAAAACTAGGTGAGCAATAAGAGGTGTCTGGCATTGAGACAATACACTCAAGTATGAGCGAACCAGATATCAAAGTGAAATAATAGACATTAGCAGGTGAAAGTGCGTTTATTTGCATCAACAACAGAGCCTACCTGCAAGCAACCCCTCCTACACAGGTGTTGCACGGGTTGCCTAACACATCTGGTTGCAGACTCTAGACATTCAAATACCGGACTTTGGCAACAAACAAACAATATTGATAAAATGTGAATCTTCAATCAGATTGCTGTTTTTGTCACTTTAATTCCACAACATGTACACTGGTAGTCGAATTACAGAACTATTTTTGCGAAATGTTACCGCAAAACCTAAGTTTACTTTGTGAAATTTAGTTTTAATAAAGCCTTTCTCTGAAAATTAAAATTTACTATAAACTCTGACTTTTACAGAAAACTACAAATATCGTAGTTTCCTCAGAAAAACGTTTCTTGTAAATTGAAACCCATATTTAGTAGTCATAGTTGCGTAAGGAAAGTTAGTTTTCCTTAATACCAAAAGTTAATTTGTGGTATAACTGATTTTTGAGAGGTTAACATAACCGCTATCAAAAATATAATAAAGTTATCATCTTAGTAATTATATTAAAATTGTAACACAGTGGAATAAAAACTTATTTATTTTAATGAGATGATGCACAATGAGAGGTAGACGGACGGCCAGACGGACGGCCAGACGGACGGCCAGACGGACGGCCAGACGGACGGCCAGACGGACGGAAAGACGGAGGAGCAGACAGACAGACAGACAGACAGGCAGACAGACATGCAGGCAGGCAGACATGCAGACAGACAGACAGGCAGACAGAAAGGCAGACAGACAGAAAGGCAGACAGACAGAAAGGCAGACAGACAGAAAGGCAGACAGACAGGCAGGCAGGCAGGCAGAAAGGCAGGCAGGCAGGCAGGCAGACAGGCAGGCAGACAGGCAGGCAGCTTTGCAGTCAATCAATTTTGAGGTATCAACAACCCACAAAACTTGGATTCCGATTACACCATGTGTTTGAGGATGTAATTTACTTTATGTAGAAGCGGGATTTATCCACTTATTTGTTTATCTGTTTCAAGGGCCATGTAATAGATTCCCTGCCAAAAATTCACCTTTTCCGCCGCATGATGACAATACTTTCTCTTCTTAGATTGATAAGGGTTAGAAAGTAAAAACTAGTACAACTTTATTGTACGCTTTTCTACATTTAATCCACAAATCGAGAGGAAGGCTAATCAATCATTCAAACAAACAAGACTCAGTGCCATTTCTTAATTATTTGATCATAGTTTTGTTTTCTACCAGTCATTCATGGTTATCAAGTCCTAGCTTATTCAGGATGTATGAAAATAGAACAATATGTTATGGTACTCAAATTTTCCTACTAAATAGATGAAGTTATGGGTTCAATGGTGTTAACATTGGTTACCACAGTGAAGCACTTCATATCGTTCTGTTGGACTAACAAGTTACTGCTGCACATAATCACATTTCTTTAAAATAAGTAGTTTAAACTGTCTTTTTCTTTCTTTCATTTTTCAGATTCTTGTTACAACTCAATGGACAATATTCCACCCATATTCTTGTCAAGCTTTATCAGATTAACAATTTATTTCAAATACATTCAAACCATAATTTTAAAAAAAAATGTCAACTCGCAAATCGTTTTTGAGAGTTTAGAAAAGTCCAAGAAGATTTTATTTTTGTAATTACTCAACAGATGGAAATAACTTACAAATTCATCCAAAATTACAGATGACAATTCAATGATTTCGTTGTGACCTGTACTCCTAGAGAAGATGACACCAAATGATCACCAGGAGATGATTCAATGATATCGTTTTGACCTGTACTCCTGGACTCATAGAGAAAATATTTTACGCAATTAACACAAGTGTCTACAAACATATATATTCTTATCTTAAAGTATTATGAAAAAAATACATTATTATAAATTTAGTGAATATGATAATAAATGTAAACTAGCACAAGTTTGTACTTTGCACTAGTATAAGCATTAAAATCAAACTAGAATTATGATTTGCCAAGTAATAAATGATAAACTTTATTCTGAACACTTCCATGTTTTAAGTAGTTAGTAGGGGCTAGATTGATAAGCACTAATAATTATTAAATTTATAAGCATTTATGCAGTAAAAACTTCAAACATATGCATTAAAATATGTCCTATAAAACATCTTAACCCAACACTGTCTCTCATAAGTTTTATGTATAGTTTATTCATCCACCACATTACTGTTACAATACCACACCATGAAATTTCAAAGAGTAGTATTAGTTTCCATATTGGTAGAGTTGTTGGTATATTTCATATAACAAGCATTAGGACCTTGCTTTGACACAATTCCAAGTAGGGAAATAGGGCTTTCATTTACATGCCAAGTGAGCATACTTTCTAATTATAGGGAGTAAATACGTATTTACATTGAAATCTAGTCCCTAGTAGTTATATATTCTGTAGGTAACAAACATTTTGAATCATAATAATATTTAAAAATAATTAATATAGCCAGTCGTGGCTCATGGTTATCCAAATGGGGAATGTTGCAAATGCATTGCATTACATTGCAGTGCTTTGCATTGCATTCATTGTATTTCTATACATAATCTCTCCCAATACCGGCATAAGGGAGTAGCGATCTTACTGCATATTGGGAAAACTAGTTGATGTTCAATGATACTCACTGAGCTACATAGTAATACTATCGGGTGAGCATGCCCTTGTTCAGACCCTAGGTCCCATCCTTGAAGGCTGCCTGGCCGCAGCTTTCATCCGCTAGTAAACCTGTGCAGTGAATGCATGTCGTCACACCTCGTTTTATACAGGCTTTATAGCAGAATGAAGTGGGAGCTAATATTTTTTCTCTTTCCCAGTCAACAGCTTCAAATGCATATAGAAGACATATCGAACTGCAAAAATAAAATTTGGATATGATTGTTACAAAATATTAAATCAGATAATCAGTTATTATAAACAAATAACATTTTACATATATTTTTTTAAATTTGGGTTTGGGTGAGCAATTTCTATAGGAGATGCTCCACTTACAGCCTTTTATGATAAGCATGCCTGATACAACATAATGTTATGAGAGACCTTGACAACTTTTTGTCTTTATATGAAGGATAAACTCTTGTAAAGAGAATCTATATATATAATATATATATATTTAATATATATATATATATATATATATATATTATATTATATATATATATATATATATATCAGTATTTATATATTACAAAAATTGGATATGAATTGTTGAAGAATAGCACCTAAATGGCAGCAAAAAGTTTCATTCATTCAAATTATTTAGGATCTGAAGGAAAAATATAGATAATTCTGTACAAGTTTGCCTTTACAGTTAAAACTTAATATATATATGTAAGCATTTTTTCATCTAGCATTTTCATTTCCTTGCAAGTGTAATAAGTGTTTGTCTTGTCTTAATAAACACCGATGAAAAATTGAATGTGTTATTTGCGAAGATTTGGAAGCAGAATTTTCAGTGTGTTTCTTATGTGTCTGATTAATGCAAGAAAATTCTTAAATCTAAATAACAGTTTATTAATATCTGATAAAAAACTCAAACTGAAGCAGTACCTGTTATACTAATTGCACTATGTAATTCAGTTGTAGGATAAGGAATGTGAATGTACATCATTATATCTGATACTAATATTGCACTAAAATTCTCTGGAGTCTAATAGAATTCACAAGGTTTTTCAGAAAAGAAATGATTACTTGTAGCATTGTCCAATTATACTAATTGTACAAATTAATTCCATGTTATTTTCTTTAATGTATCTTTCATCATACGCAGGATCAGGCTGGTGAAACCGCTTCATGATACCGGAGCCCAAGAAGTCAAGGATCCCGAATTAGGATGTCCAGCAACCCCAAATAGAGATGACCATGTCAATAAGGGCCCTGTTTCCACTTTGTGAACCCAGCCCCCCAAGAATGTAGCTACACCTCTGATCAAATGAAAGAATTAATCTGTGTTAAAGGTGAGGAGTGTTATAATAATGCACATGTTAGGCCAAATCCCATCTGAAGCTAGGAAAAGAATTGTTTCATTAGAATTTTTAATGTATCTTAATAGAGTAACAGCTTATGCTCATTTCAGTAAATAGTTCATATTTTTCTGAGGATACATTACAATTTAACTGTTCTCAACTTGATGAATGGTTTCAAGCTTTTCCAATATTGACATTAACTTTCTCTTTGAAACCATCAACATTTAGAATTCACAAAACAATTCCATTGAAACTGAGATGTTGCCTTATATGCAAACAATGCACTGTTCATCAGATGATCATCACCAATGTCACCCTGATGGCAAAAACCTAAATACAAAGTTAGCAAATTTGAGATGATAAATCTTACACCTCAAATATTGTGAAGCTCACATTCATCCTGCTTGCCTGCACATGATTGAGCCATTAGTATGTGTGAACTTTTGTAGAAATCCCACACCTTAGCATCTTCTACAAAACAATACTTGAAGAAAGGGAGACAATTTTCACCTTTCCCTGATGAGCCGCATTATTCCTGGAGAGAATTTCCCTGCAGAGGTTTCCTTCATATTTACCTTGTGATCAAGGATGCTGGAGAGTAAGACAAGTGATACACTCTGTTTGGGAAAATTTGTAATTTTTACTTCTGTATACAATATTCTGTCCACCATAGGCAGGAAACTCTTATAAGTGGGTCTCTTAAATGCAGGATGAAAACACTCCCAATTCATACAGATTCTAACACATTAATTATGTCTCTTTTATCAGAGTTTAGTGTTAAATCATTGTCCTCTAAATAAGATACTGGGAAATAATGGAAAGCAGAAAAAAAATTAAAACTTTGGTGTAACTAATGAACTCTCTTTGTACGTACAATCATTACTTATAATTTTATTGAGTAATAATGGGTCATTTAAAAAATATTATCAACAAATTTACCCTCACGAATACCACCACAACCACTCCTTAGAACACTTGAACACTCTCAACTCCCTCTGACCCCCCCCCCCCCTTGCTCTCTTCCAGGTGAATATTCCGTTTCAACCCCTATCCTCACATCTTGAGTTAAATATAACTTCATTAAAATCTGGGTGACTGGGTGAATTCTATTAATATGTTAAAACATTTCAAATTAAAAATAAGACTGAGTTTTGATAAATTCAACATTTATACACAACAATGTTAGAAAAATTAATTTTTTACAATAATATTTTCATTTTTCATTAATTTCACACTTTTTGTTAAATTTCTTCACAGTTATGGGAACCATCATTTCAAATGGCCCCTTAGAATATTTCTGAAAGTGCAGTGTTTAAACCTTGTTTTTATAATTCATGAATATTCTGCTTACTCAGATCCAATGGCGGCCAACTGATTTCTTTTGAACGTTTGAACTTCACCAATTATTTAATTTGTATAATTTGAAAGTTTTTTAATATAAATTAAATTATGGATTTTCAGTAATTTTTAGAGAAAGATTTTTGGGGCTGGAAATGATCTATCTTCTCTTTCAGTTCTTTTTGTAGTTGCTCATTTCACTGTTTGAACTCGAGAACTCACATGAACAATCTGTATTAAATGTCATGTCTATGAATTTTAAGTAACAAATGCAAAATTTAAAAAAATATTTTTCTACTCTTTTTTCAAAATTCAGATTATTCTAACTAAAAATGTGGGCATAAGTGTCAACAATCATTACCTCTTCCAATGACACTTTCAGTAGGCATTTATTGTAGATGACATTGCCTCTTTGAATCACACATATTTTACATAACTTTTTTAGTAAATCACCTTTGACAAGGACAAAAGTCACAGCAGAAAGGTTTATCATGAGACTGCAGATAATAAAAAGGAAGAATGAAGAAACTTTCAAATTTTGTGGAAATGATCAACATGACGGGAAAGAAGAACAACCCTCTATAAAAAGGGTACACGTTCCTCTTCTTAGTGATACTTAAAAGGTAGATGCAATCCTATCAAAGGAAAAATAAGAACAATTTCTCTTGCACAGTATTTTCGGCTATTTAAATGATTTATGAATTTTCTGCAATAGATAATATAATTTCCTGCATCTCGGAAATTGAATTGTAAAGTCTGATCAACTGAAGCAAGGTAGAAACATATGAATATATTGGCACACAGATGTATGATTTCTGGAAACATATTGGAAATAATCTTCAGTACACACACACACTGTTGGATTCCAAGAACGCAGTGAATTGAAATGACTATAACAAATATCAAAGGATTTTTTATTCGATTCCATAATAGGATGTGGCAATCAGTGGCATCTAGCACAAATAGCTCAAAATTTCACCTACAGTCTCCTTAAAATCGCTTTGCAGTCCCTTACAGGATTGCTGTTTGCCATTCCATTATTGATAATAAAGAAAATTTTGAAATCAAGTAGAAGAAAAAAACAACAATTTAAATTTAATATTCAAGAAATTAATTTGAGTTTTACTATTCTTTATATAGTATAAAGGAGTTTGTTTTCGACCCATCATTTGACAGGTTACCCCCATTAAATTTTAGAACAAATTACCTCACCAAGTTCCTAAAACAGTACTACTTGTCATATAGGTATTAATGGTAAAATGTCTTGGAGGCTGAGTGAAAGGAAAATCATACAGTCCCAGCCAGAGCATGATTTCTGCCACATCTCAGATGTGTATGACAAGTCAACGATCCCTAATGAAATATATTGACCACTGACTCATAATATTTGAAAGATCTTAATTTATTTAAAGTCATGTTGTCGGCAGTGATGAATTTCAATTATATGTACAAAACAAGCAATCATTGCTAAGGCAAAGGTAAAATGGATATTTATTCTATTATTTCCCCATTGATAGGGAAAATTTTCTAGACCTGCTACACAAGATTTTCAAATTCATTTCAATTAATGGAGTAATTAAAAGACATTTCAGAGAGTCAAGACTTGGAGAGCCAAATTAAGAGTTCATGATATGATTGCCAAGCCAATGTAGATCAGAAACCTGAATCCTGAAACACAGAGATAACTAAAGTTACAGAGGAAGAGACTCAAGACAATAAACATGACAGAAGTAGTTAAACAAGCCAAGGAAATGGCTGGAAAGTTTTTAAAAACACTAAAAAATAGTATAAGTGTGTTTTGTGTCTTTGCATTCTATAGTAATTAAAAATTGGTATTGAAAATAGTAGCATTTTTTTTTCAGTTTTGGGGCTCTAAATATTGTCATCATCTATTATTATAGTAACTCAAGCTTTCTTGCATAATTTTATTAATTTATTAAAATTATATTAAGTGCATTAACACCTTATCACTTATCAGGGTTATCAAACTGGCAGAATGTGGATCGCATGCAGCCTGTGGTGCCAATTATTGTGGCCTGTGAAAGGTTATTATTCAAAATTTAAGTACCTTGCATGCATGTCGGGCGAGAACATTGTCCACCCAGTGCATGCGGCCTACCACGGTCAACTACCTTTTAATGTAAAAATTGGTTGTTTAGATTTAAATATTTTTTCTGGTCAATTCAGATGTTGAAAATCATCTCAATGTTTCACTGCGTTATGCATGGTACAGCATAATATCACACATGGTTCCATCCCCCCTCCCGGTTTCAGAGCAGTCAGGCAAACTGCCGGAATCACCAAATCATAGAAGTCAGATGTGGGTAGCCCAACAAATGAAAATATGGCCGGCAACGATATTAAATGTTTTAATTGTAGCCCTATGGTCTTGCAAGTTGGACACCCCTGACTTAGATTATTGAATAATTTAATTAATTCTTGTATCCTATATTCTCTGTTTCATTACCTACTTTTGTAATACAGGTGAAGTAAGATGTTACATTGATGCCAAAATTTGAAGATGAATAGAAGCAAGACAACCATTAGAAATGAATTCTCGGCTGTCCGGGAATTAGGAAACCGGGAGGGGGGATGGAACCATGTGTGATATTATGCTGTACCATGCATAACGCAGTGAAACATTGAGATGATTTTCAACATCTGAATTGACCAGAAAAAATATTTAAATCTAAACAACCAATTTTTACATTAAAAGGTAGTTGACCGTGGTAGGCCGCATGCACTGGGTGGACAATGTTCTCGCCCGACATGCATGCAAGGTACTTTAACTTTTGAATAATAACCTTTCACAAACCATTAGAAATGTATGTTCCAAATGTACACATGACCAGATTTAGTAGAAGGACAAATAGCAAGACATTGAGTTGTTTGTAGCATTATGGAATGTGTAAATGTAATATTTTCTTAATTAATTTGGCTTACCTAGAATTGTTTTATTCTCATATTTCTATATTTGAAATTTGTCAGTTCAATTGATATAGTGCTAAATTATCATAATTAAATTTTCTCTAAAAAATTCATTTGGAAACCTTTTAGATTAGTAGTCTAATCTAAATTCAAAATATTTCTACTGATGCATATATGCAGGAACAAGTTCTGCTACACTAAGCCATGATCCAGTAATTGCAGATATTCCATGTAACTTCTAAAGAAATTTTCTTAAAAGCTGCTGCTGTAGCTGCTCCCTTAAATTCACATTTCTCAACTCCACATATCACCTTGTTAGAATTTAATCCAACAAGAATTAGTATTGTTTTCTGAGTGCAAAAATGCCTTTTCTAAATTTTGTTATTCTACTTTTATTGCTTTCATTTTTATCTTAATAAGCCTTTGTTTTGTTCAAAATTTAATAAAAGAACTTTTTAAAATGATTTGATAAAACAAAAGTTGAAAATTAAAATAACATTATTTATGTTAACAAAAATTAAAAGGGTCCACCAGGTTTGAGCCCCATTTTATCCAAGTGAAATTTATTGTAGACAAAGTGGATTTGCATAGAGGGATTTCCCGGGGTTTTCCTGGTTCCAGTCTTTCTCCTTCCATTTTCACGCTCATTTCTGACCTTAACATAATCATCGCCATCATTTCTTCTCAACAAAAATCCTTCCAGGATATGCGATGATGGTGGTGCTATGATTTCTGAGTTACGAATTACGGCCATTGTGCCACATGCTCGTTTTTTATTTATTTCTTTTTACTGTTCCGTATACATACGTATATACGGAGTAATATATGTAAAGCAGCGGAAAATCGAACTCGAGATTTCTAAGGAAATACACGTTTTGAGGTCCTCTGATGCCGAAAAAGTTTTTTATTCTTTCTTTCTTTTTCAAAACATCCGTCAGTCCGTCTGTGAACACCGTTAGCACCAAATCTAAAAGTAGGGTGTTTTCCAAAATGGATATTCCCCAGTCGATATAGCTCGACTCGAGGCGCTGTGATTTTGAAAAACGTTCTTCAAAATTTGGGGGTAGTTTACATGAAAACTCCAGGACATTTTCAAAAATTTCGCCAAAACAAACGCCATTTTCTCAAAAACGGATCCATTTTATTTATATTTTATTGTAACTTTTCGAACGGATAGTGCTAATTGCACTCTTTAATACGGCGTAAAGTTCATTTTGGGGTATCGTATTGTTGTTTTTTTAATTACACGAATGTAATTTTTTTAAAGGTTCCTCACGCCGTTAATATGAACATTTCAAGTCATTTGTAAACACTATTTTATTTGTGAGTTAAAGTGCTTCAAATTACTCCCAATGAAGTTTTTCGAAAACTCAAAAATGTTCTGTGAAAAAGAGCTTCAAATTTCGAATTTACAGTAGCGCTTAAACGCCATTTTCTTAAAAACCGCTCCAAAAGTGGCCTAAAAATGGCTCCAAATGTTTCAAAGAAAATTGCCATTTAGGACGAGGACTGTTGAGAAAAATTGAGAAAATGTCAAAAAAAATGTATTTGGCCGACGATAGATGGCAGCTGGCAAGAGTATGTCCGAATAGCTAGCCGAGACCAAAGGAAATAGAAAACTAATACGGGAAAGTCTGTGCTATTTTGTAGCACCACTAGTTTATTATTATTTTTGTCTTTAACTGATTGATAAGTGATTCCGGGCGCGTCATCAGCTAAGCTCAAAAGTCCCGTAAGAGTAGAACATGTTTTCCCGAGAGGTGGCTGTTATCTTCCCTAGCTAGATGGTGAGATCCAGCGCTGACCTAACGTTGTCTTGGGGTTTTCCCCAACTACGTATCACTAGAGGAGCACCGCCAAGACCGGTCTTCGGGCATGTGCAGTGCAGTGTATGTTAATTGAGGTGTGTGTAAGGAAGGGGTGAGGATAGTGCAAGGAATAGAAGCAAGGATTGCGCTCGGTCCGTGGCCCATTTGTTAGGGTACTGCTCCGACATTCGCCTGTTATTGATCGGAGAAACCATCGAAATCTACCGATTAGAGCAGCCAGCCGCTATAATTCTCCTTCTAAGATCGACTGAACTCTATCTAGCTATTTAGCTAGTATCCTGCCACCGTCGGGACTCGAACCTAGAACCTCCTGGTCAGAGGCACTGCAGTGATATCAGTTGATGCCCTGAACCAGGGAAATGCATGTCATAGGTTAAATATGGTGTATACGTTGTATTAGATAGTATAGAGTACTAAGAACTGAATTATTTTGCGAATCAGTTCTCCTCGGGCTGAAATCTCAAATTATGTAAATTAATCACTATTGGGCTTTAGAGGCGTCATCGTTGCCATAGCAGCCATCATCTGAACTTTGTTTGAACTCCAAGCTACTGCACCGCAATTCAAGATATTCGGCCTGATTATTTGATAACTACCTTGAAACTGTTCATCTTGCATAGCAGAACCAGGAGTCACGGTGTGCTGTTCCAGGGAAATGACGCAAGCTAAGAGAATCGTACGGACTAACGCTGATGACCACAGTTTTTATAAGCAGAATTCACTCAAACCTTCCTTATTAC